GGTTTAATTCCTAAGTAATTAATTAAGTGTTTCTTCTTAATTGTTTAGGGTTTGTGGACTTCAGGTTTAACTGAAGCTAATTTAATAGAAATCTTTGTATCTGTTATATTCATTAAAGGTTTAACTGAAGCTAAATAATAGAAATTTTTGTATCTGTTATATTCATTAATTGATCCTTTATATACATACAGTAATATTTTTCATGACTCTTTAATTATTTAGATTTTACATAGAGCTATTTATCTTAATCAGATTTTAATTTGGTTATATGAACAATTTATTTTTTATTAAAAATTATAATTATAATTTGTAATTTTAACGTTACCAATTATCTTCTTTACTAAAAAATGAATAAATATTTTCAAAATGTGCTAAATGTTCAACTTAATAAATTTTCAATAATACATCTAAAAATGTCTTTATATATACCTAATACTTTAATAAAAATATATGGCAATTCTTAATAGTTAATTTTTTTATTTTTAACAAAAAAAAAAAAACCAATTAATTGGGATTTAACTCATCTTACCCAAACTTCGACCTGATTAGGTAAACGACTTAGAATTATGGACTCAACTTGATCAACAAGATGCGACTTACTGACCCAAGTGCAAATGGGCATGCATGAGCGGGTGAGTTGGATGCATGATCACAATGTGCAAGCATGGATGATGGGGTGAGCACAATAGAAGACAGGACGAGCACGTTTCTAGTTCTCAAGTCAATATTATGTTTTAGGGTTAACCCGTGTTCAACCCAAAAATACAATCGACTCAAAATATAAAAGTCGAACCCAACCCATTTTGCAAATGGGTTGACCCAGATAGAGAATTGCCGGGTCGAATTTTAGGATCTTGACGCATATGAATAATAGTCGAGCGGCCTTCCCTAGTCTCGAGGTGTTTGTGTGTATATATATCACCTTTTTACGATTTTACATTTTAATATTACTTTCCACTATTTTTAAATTATTTTTCATGCAATTTTGTTAATCATTTAAAATTCCGCGTGGCATGATATGCTGGCTAAACCTCCCAACTGTGAGAAAATTTTCTCAATATGTTAGTTAACTTATTAAACAAATTAGAAAATTTAATTGTTTATATTTTAAGATAGCAAAATTGACCATTAAAAATAACTAAATTATTGCTGGCCCACTCACATAGTCGCATGTTTGAATTTTCAAAATAAGATATTAAAATTAATATTAAAGTAATAGTATTTAATAAAAGATTCTACTTTGAGAAGAATTATCTCGTCAGCTTCTCCGTAGCCTATGTAGCGACAAGAGCTGACCAAATAAATTGGAATAGTGGGCCGACGAATGTCTTAGCCTAGTGGGCCGACGAATGAAGCCTAAAAAGGATTTCTTCTTTCTAATCGTAATAGTATATTTACGTAAATTTTTTTAAGAATTTTAAAGTAATATTATTAATTAAAAGTTTAATTTTTTTTCTTGGGCCTTTTTTTTTCTCAGCTGAAATTTCAAAATATTTTTCAAAAATAACTTTTTATAGGAAAAAATTTTAAATAACAATAGAAAAGCTATTCCAAACATACTTAGATAGAGTTTTTTCTCTTTATAAAGTTGTGGTAGAAAAAGTAAATTTTAAGAGCTGTTGTTAAAAATAGTTTTCTCATACATAATTAAAAAAAATGAAAAAATAGACAAACAAAATAATTATTACGATTTGAAAAATAAAATAGTAAGAAAATTGTTCCAAATGAAACATAAATCACATTTCAATATAAAACTTATCATCATATTTTTTACATAACTTTTATCACTTGAGAATAAATTTAGAATCTCTCTCTTTTTAAATTTAGGCCTCATTTGAGACGTCTTTTTTACTACTTCTTAAAACAGATTTTTAATATAAAAAATTAATTTTTTTATTAAAAAGCTGCTTTAAGAAGCAATAAGAAAGTCATTCCAAATGAAACTTTAATTGTAAATTTAAATTATTTAGAATCTCTCTCTCTTTCCCCCGGCTTGCATCCTAGATTTGTATAGACGAATTTTCCCGTCGCATATTATATTTGTATTATATACGAATATAATTGTTCTATCACTTCAACGTTAGTTTCTCTATATAAGTGGATGCATGCATGATACCATTTTTTTCAAAAATAACATTCAATTTCATATTTATATTATCATGTATTTTCATGACATAGAGCTTTGAATCAGAAACAAGAAAAATGCTATGAAAGTTCTCTGTTTGAGCTCAAGATGAGAGCATTATGTATTGAAAAACCTTGTACTGAAAAATTCTCTATATTGGAAGCTTATTCTATCACTTTGTGCTGGCACTTTACATATTTATATTTGTCTTTATGCTTATCATTTAAATGCATTTGAAATGCCTTTTACTTTATATTTCCTTTCTAAGGGCATCTCCATCTGAAAATCTCATTTTTCTCGAAAAAATACATCAAAATTTTAAAATGCGGTAATTCTGGTCCAATCGAACTCCAATTTGCAGGCTTCTCTCGTCGTAATCGTAATTCTCCATTTTGCGGGTAAATCCTGTTTACACATAAAAATTTAGCGGGTGAACGGTGCGACGCCAATATTGACGTTGCATTGTTCATCATCAAACAAATGCCGGACAAAAAGGAATTGGGTTGTGACATTTGAGGGCCTCCATTCGGTTGTTTGCCGAACGGCTGGAGATGGTCTTAAAGATTTGTATTTTCTTTTTTTGCTTCTTGCAACAACATTAATAGACTACTTCTCTAAGATTGTTTTGCACAAAAATATATTTTTTTAATTGATAATTGATGGAATCCAGCTGTGGTTGTTCATAGGGATTAGATTAAAAATAAAAACAAATATATATGAAAAAAACGTCCTGACTCATTCTCCACCACTTAAAAAATAATACAATTTAAAACAAATAATTAAAATAAAATAATTATTATTTAAAAATTGGAAAAAGAAAAATGAGTTCTGATGCTGCATTATATTTTTATTTAATTTTTTAATTTTAATTTTAATTTCTAATTTTTATTATTTGGATTATTATATAAATACCAATAAAAGTTATGTATATTTATAAATTCAACATTCAGTTTGAGAAATTTTGCTTGTGCTGATATAAATTCATTAGAAATTTGAAGAAAATGGAAAATGGAGTTAAGAGTTTAATTGCAAATTTTAAATTTTTTAGGAGAATTTGAAGCCAATATTAATTGGTTGATATTATTTTTTATTAATAATAAAAAATTGTTAAATGTTCGGTTTAAAATTGATCTATGATTCTTTTGTATTTATGTTTAGAGTTTTTGAGTTTATATTTTTTGAGAAATGCACATAATTGAATTAATTATTTTTATAGTAATACATTATATAATGCTTTTAATTAATGAATGAAAAAATACAAAATAAAAATTAATGATTCAGGTTAAAATTGGCTCATATGTGACTATCCTTTTTGTCTTTTTAGTTCAAAGGAAAATTTAATTTATATACCTAAATATAAAAGTCGTTTCAAAAAACAGTAAAAGAAAGACTATTCTATACAAAGCCTAAATATTGATGGAACATACCAATTTTCCATGAATAATAAAAATTATTGAATGTTAGGTTAAATTGCTCTATAATTCTTTTGCTTATTATTTTAGGAGTATTTGAGTTTATTCTTTAAAATTAGCAATATCTTGAATAATTCTATGATAAATGCTTAATTAATGATGGTATAGTATAATCTATAATAATTCATAATATGCACATAAATTTTATTAATAAAACTATAATTAATATAAGTAATATAATTAAATTCATATTTATACATACCTTAAATGAAATACATGCATAATTAATAGCATTACAATTAATGTAATAGTTATACTCTTATTAATAATAATGATGATAATAAGCATACATAATTCCACTATAATCAATGATATGAAGTTAGGTAATATGATGGAACATAATCCATGTGCATACATACAATAATAGTTAATACATGGACATGTAAGTATACATACACACATACATATATGTTATAACACTATTATATAAAACATTATATATAACATACATAACATCATATAAAATCATTAATAGCAGTTATCGTAGGGCCTTTCTTTCGACATACGCGACATGATGATACGAACCCAAAAAGACGGAATAATACATATACATATTTCACATATTAAATGTATTATATCATTTACTTGGCTTAATTCGCTGGATTAGTTTAAGGTAGATTATAAAAATAAATTGGATTTACTCTACGATTTTTTATTAAATATATATGCTAAATGTTATACTAATTCAACGAAAACATAACTAATATTATTAATAAATGTGTAAATTTTATATAACTATAAATAATTACAAAATAAATAAATTTTTAATACCAATATAGCACTAAAAGCATTCATATTTATTAATATGCAACACAATTTTTATATAATTAGTGTTATTCTATTATAATATGTTAGATTTCTACCTATATTTCTTTACTAATTATATCATTTAAATAAGAAATCAATAAATCGAACGTCATGCTAATAATTATAAAAAAATATTTGATGGTATATTTATAAATATCAAAATTTATAATTGCATGCTCATAAAAAAATCCCTACATAAAAAAAATAAAAAAGATATGATCATAAATGCATATGAAAATATGCTTCATAGGCTCTCTAATATTATTTTTTTTTAAATAAGTATTATATATAAATAATTATTTTTTAACATTTATGAACTTTGAATTAAATTTTAAATATTCAAATGACAAAATTAATTGCAGCATATAAAAATTATTATATGTGATCATCAGACGGTTCGGAAGTCAAACAAAATGTATCATTACCACATCATTCGACACACAATAATCCATAATAATGATACATAATATATTGATTATATGGTGCTTCCTAATTGCAGCAGGATATTCAGAATATTCTCACTCTATTTTTCCATTGTTTTTTTTTTTTTTTAATTTTGTTACGTAATTTTGTACTTAATTGTAGCATATGCATTATGTAATGCGGGCTTAAACCATCCTACGGCCGGCGGCCGGCGGATCGAAAGGAAGAGCCGGATTGAGTAGAAGACGAAGAAGGAATCAGAATCTTTGTTGAATTTTGGCCAAGAGAGCTCTTTTAATGGATTCCCTTCACCTCCCGCTTCCTATAAATCCAGTCTCCTCCTCTTCTGCAAGGCTGCAGTTACAAACCATCCATCGAGTTTCTTGCTTTTCCCTCTTTCGGTAAATGATCTGTTTCTTTCGATGCAATGTTGGTTATTAAGTTTCGAGAAAATGAATAGTTTTTTTGGATCTAGGGATTGGTACGTATATTCAGAGTTGGAGATCGGGAAAGAGTTCGATAAATCAGTTCAACATTACTTCGTATGTATGACTTCGGCTATTTCTCCCAGTTATTTTATGGATGGGGATGTTGGGTTTTAAATCAAAAAATTTATCATGTTTGAATGCCCATCTGCTTAAGTTGGTAGTTTTCTGTGATTTTTCGGCATCCCTCAGGAAGAAATTAGGAAGCTATGATGCTTATTATTCGTTGTTTAGATCAAATTACGCAATGATTTGGCAAAATTGAAGAGTGGGTTGTCCATTAAAAGTATTTAGTCACTCATGCTAGCAAAAGATCTACCATTTGATTGCTATGAGTTATATCATAGCTGTGTGATGATGAGACTTGACAAGTGATATTTTATGAGTGCTAAAGTTCTCTTTGTTCAAGTGGTATGCTTTTTGATTTTCTGGTAAAGGTCAAGAGGCATGCTTATAAGATTTTTTAAATTAAATATTCTTTAGATCCATGTGTAAAATTAAATCTATAATTAACTTTATAATTTTCCTCGTGCCTACGTCTCAATGACAGACCTTGGTCTTACTTTTAACTAATTATTAAATATTTAAGACATTTTTTATCCTTTCTGGGGGTGGTGATGTGATATGTGATATTTCACGAGCGACTTTACATAAAGATTCTATTAGTCCCATCTTTATTGCTAAGATTTTTCATATGGAAGAATCGAATATAGGTCCTCTCCAATTATCACGCTAATTGCACAAGCGCTACAAGATGGATTTATCAAGGTAATTAGAGAATACTAGAAGAATTTATGTAGTTATTTCGTAAAGGGCATATCTACAACAATAATAACATCAAGTATTTATCCCAATATGTGGGATCAGCTACATGAATCATTTTTCTTCATTGTGTTTTGTTAAGAGTCAAATTCTCATTTAAATTTAATAAAAAGGCCATTTACAATTTTTTATAGCCATGCATAAAGTTCCTATATGTCATAAGTTATTTTACTGATTGATCATGGAAACTTTTAAAATGTATTTGCATCAGAATATGGTTAATGAGTTTTTTCATCTGAACCACCCTTTTATAGCTTTCGCTGAATCATGTAGAGTCTGTTTGATAAACAAGTTACAGGTGAGTTAGCTTTGTGTCTTTTTTATTTGATGATAATAGAAGAGATTTCCCTGTTATATACTAGACTGGATGTAGTAATGCTATTATATAAACTATGAAGATTGTTTGTTAATGAATTTAGGAAGCTTAAAATATTTTAGAAATATCTCGATGTATTATTGAGCACTAAATATGCACCATCATCTTGTTGGACCCTGCATACATTAAGTGATGGACTTGTCTCTTACTTTTTTTCCTGCTAAGACTCTTCAGCTAAGAGCGCACTTTCATACTTTCTAGAAATGGCTACATTCAAAGGCTCTTTTTTGCTTCCCTCATGCCTTGTTTTTACTATGATTTAATTGAATTGCAACGTCATAAGTATTCCTAACTTTTGTACTTTATTCCTGTTATGAATTAACAAATGGTCCACTACTCTTTCAGTGCATGGTGCATCCCTTTTGATCATATTCCTACAGTTCAAAATTAACACCTATTTTTGGTTTTCCATTCTCTTACAGTTCTTCTTCAATATTGTGGAATATTGCAGGGACTAGGCTATAGAAGCAACTGGTAAGCTTGAAAACTTATAGGCAAGGAGCGCTGGTCATGCATAAAATAGATGTTTGTTCTTCAGTTAAATTCTTTTTTACCTGCGATGTGTTTGGATACTTCATAGGTCAAGATGAATGCATTAGCTGCAACCAGTAGAAACTTCAAGAAGGCAGCTAAGCTGTTGGGCTTGGACTCGAAGTTAGAACGTAGCTTGCTAATTCCTTTCAGGGAGATCAAGGTAAATGACATATTAGGGCTAACATCTTCTTTGTTGGTCTAATACTCTTTACCCACCTTATTTGTTTTACAAATTGTTGCTTTTTCTCATCAAGCCCATAGGCCTTCACATAAGCGGTTGGAGGATTTTATTTCTTATATTTATATTCTTTATTCTATGTTTAGTTATGCTTGGGGAAAGGTTGGTTCTTAAGTTGTTTCTCCTCCAGAGCCTTTTTGTGATATTGTATGTATTGGAATAGTATTAATGAAAGATCGAAATATTGGACATGATCATTGTACGGCCAATTGTTTTTTTTTTTCATACATTTTCCTAGTTCATTTCAATTACTTTTTATGTCCAATTCTATCAATTTGAATTTAACATAACATGATTGTTAGACATCCACTCCTCAGAGTCATCTGTTAACGTGTCTTCTTAATACATTGAATGGAGGGTTTTTTTATAAAGCATTACTTTCTTCTCATTCATGTATTCCTGAACAGTATTTGAATTATTAATGCAGGTTGAGTGCACAATCCCTAGAGATGATGGTTCTTTAGCATCATTTGTGGGATTTAGGGTGCAACATGACAATGCTAGAGGCCCCATGAAGGGAGGAATTAGATATCACCCAGAGGTGAGATCAAAATTATTTTGCTCATCACCCCACACACTTTTGCTAAATATCCCACTATATTTTTTTTCCCTCTAAATAAAATTGAAACAAACATGTTATGCTAAAATGATGCTGGTCATATTTATTTCCTCAACCAAAAATGAGGAATTATAATGGTATCTCTCTCAAAGAAGTTTCTCTTCCCCTCCCCACTAGCACACACTAGACATTATCATATAGAGTTCTCTTGTTAGCTTTCAAAATTTGAAAACCTGGATTTTTTTTTTTTTTGACATCATTCATTGAAAGAGATGTTTGATATTGCATGTAAACCAAATGATATTATTCAATAATTGTTTCTAGCTCCTACATATAAAGTAGGAGACTTTCAGAGTTGGTTTCATGACATGGATGGTCTTTGACTATTGGTCAGTCTGTTGCGTGCTATAATATTCATGGTTGCAGATGTTGAGTTGATCTTCTTAGCATAACACAAAGATTCAACATATATAAAGATAAGTTAATTGCGACTCACAAGAGGCACATAATTTTTACGTAGAAAATCTCAAAAGAGATAAATAATGTGATTTGGGGCCAAGTTAAAATAATTTCACTATGTTAGTTAAAAGTTATAAAGATTTGCCCTTTTCAGTCTCTAGAGAAGGCAAGACTTTAAGGCAAGGCAATAGGTGTTGATGTCAGCTGATGATGGATGACGACATACGATGTACATTGTAGTCGTTCGTCATTGGATGTCAGTATTGCTCAGTAGCTTATAAAAGACATGCACTGGTGATAGTTGGGGGGGGGGGGGGGGGGGGAGTAAGATGTGAGACATTGAGAGTAGACAGTGCGTGATAGCGACGATTGGCAAAAGGCACTTGCGAAGATTGATGGCGAGTATCGATAGCTATCAACAAAGTATGTCGACGAGAATTTGTGATTGGCAAAGGCAAATGTTGGCGGCTAACGAGTGTCAATGATGATGATGAGCATCTACAACAATCAATGTTTGACTTCGTTGGCTAGTGTCAATGGCGGTGGATGACAGGCATCGACAATGATTGATAGTTGGTGCTAATAGCAGTCGATGGAGGACTCGTGGTGCTAACAAGCAAAGCTCTCTTGATCATTCGGTGTAGTTTATACATCTTAGTGTCCCGATGATGTTAGAATTAAGTGATATTGGGCTTATCCGATTCATCTCATCAGGATGTTTGTTTTGACTATAAGCACGCAAAAATAGGAGGCCATTTGGTCCATCAAATGGTATCGACAAAATCAACCATACTTTCAAGTGCTTCATTTATGTTCATTTGGACTTCATTTGTGCATTTTTTGGTATTGTTGAGTACGCCGAGAAGCTCATTTCAACTTCAAGCTTTTGAAAATTTGATTTTGGATGGTATCAAAGTCAATTTTAAATATTTGGATGCTTTGAGATTTAAAATTTTGCATCAAAATTTATGCTTAATCAGATTTTTTTTTCACATATTAGAGTCATTTTCATAGTCAACTTCAACTTTTCAATTCTCTTTAGCAACCCACCACCATGCAATCACATCTAGAACTTTAATAAGATAGCATTTCCTGGAAACCAAAATGCCATACTAGGAGCCTGTATGTCTTAAATGTTTCTGCCATTTAGATGGAATGTTCTAGAACTGTCAACTAAAATTGAAATAGATGTAGTAGAGACAGTTTTCGCACTACGTATCAAAAGTGAGTATTCAGGTGGAATTCTTGCAGTACGTGGTTTTGGTTCGGACGGCATATCCACAATCATTACCTAGAAACCAACAAGGTCTGCTGCAAGTCTGCGTGTCCTCTACCACCACTCCACAAGACACTCCTATTTTGGTTTCTTTTTTAATTATATTGTTTTGGTGAGACTCTAGCATCCTAGTGCGAAACCTGCTAGGACATTTAGGGGCTCTTGATTTGGTGAAAACTTGATGAGAAGTAAATTATTTTACAAAGTAACTTGTCTGTGTTTGTTTGAGTGAAGTTGGTAAAATTAAGTTACTTCATGGTTCATTTCTTTCACAAATTCGTTCTGAAGTAAATGCCAGCAGATCGGCTACATCTTCTACATAAATGATGATTTTACACCGCAATTCAATTCAACAAACTAAATAGCCGATAAATGCTTTGCTCCCAAATTATGGTTCTTTCTCCATTTAGCTGGGTACTACATTAAGTTCAAAGTTGAAGGATGGAGAAGCTTTTAGATTTATATTATTACACTTAATCTTATTATGAATTATGTGATTATATATTATTTAATGGGGCAGAAAATTGAGCTGAACATTTTTTTTGACGAACTTCAACCATTTCTTGATGCGGACATCGGTATAAAGATTTGGCGCATCTATCACAGGCGGCGTCGTAAATCGACGGCTATCATTTAAACCTTCTATTATGATTTATTTTCTGCATTTTAGTTCTTAATTAACGTATTTCTTATTTTACCCCTAGGATAGTTTATGTAAGTGTTATGGCCCAATGAGCATTTTTGTAATTTTTGATTTTCTCATGTTGTGGCCTATATATAGGGACTTAAGCTATTGTAATAGAGGATGAATTATTGAATGAAAAAAAAGTTTGTCTTGTTTGATCTCTTAGTGAGTTCATGAGGGAGAAGCCCGAAATTCTCCAAGAACTTTGAATGAATTGATTCGGTTAATCTCTATTGCAACTCTTTGGCCTAAGCAAGTTAACGTTTCTAATTCTTAACCCTATCTTGAATGATCGACATAAACTTATAATAGCAAACTTAAACAATTCTCTTTTAAATTTCTAATTGCAACTCCTAGTGGTATTACATCACCCAGTTTTGTTCTCCTGCTGTCCAGAGAATCCAACAACCTTCTAGTGCTGTTTTGCCATCCGGCATACTCCCATTTGTTGCCCGGAAGTCTCCATCGGCTGCCCACCCACAGAACTTCGCCAAGATCAACCGCCACAATTCGGAACTTCCTCTACGCACCTCAAACAAAACCTACGAACTTGACTATGGTGAACTCTTCCCCAAGTTTCCTATTTTCCTAGTTTATTTTCAATTGTGGTTATATTTTGACTCACAAAGATCATGTTTACTCTCCTCCGCTAAAGCTTAGTGTTTAGTAAGATTATGTGATGGGCATTTCATAGTACTAATCTTATTATTAGCATAGGGATTTATTGTTGAAACCATTCATGTATGCAATGTTAGATTAACTTGATTGTTTTATGATCTTAACTTTTATGCGTGTGATTCGGCCTAAGCTTGTCTTACCGTTCTTTGTGTTTTCTTTTGTCGTTCAAAATCAACATAAAGTTTATAATTATTGTGCTCTAAATATTAAGTGTGCAAATTCATTAATTAGCTCATATTTGCATGTACATTTTAATATGCAAGGGTTCACACATCATGGATGGATGTGGGCAAAAAAGTTACTCCATGAATTTAAAATTAAGATAAAAACTTGAAATATATATTCTCTTACAGGTAAATTAATGAAATTAATATATATTATGATATATATGAAGATTAATACTCTTTGCATTCAGAAAACTAAATGGCTTGAGAGAAGATTAAGGAGATTGATTATTTAGAATTTAAATTATGGTATTCAAGTAGTAGTCACAATAAAAATAGTGTTGGTGTGATTATAGATATGAGTTTGAAGAATAATGTTGTATAAATTAATAAAATTTGAGATAAAATTATAAAGATTAGCTTCGTTATAAAAATCGCTTTACATGTAAAGCTTAGAAAATTGAGAAAGATATAAGAAAGAAATATGCGATGTAAAAAATTTAGCTTTTAATGATTTATATAATATATTAGATATTAAGAAGGGAAAAAAATATATGTATAAATTAGCCAAATAAAGAGACAAAAGAAGCAAGGATCTAGTTCAAGTAAAGTACATTAAAATGAATATTAAAAAATATATATATTTTTAAAATAGAATATTCAACGTAGGAAGATTAGATATTTCAATAAGTTTTTTAATAAAGATTGTGGTAATGCGATCGACTCTAGTAACTTTATCACCCTAAATAAAAAATATATATTTTTATTTTTATGAACGTATTAGTAAAACTGAATTTAGAGAGGCTTTAAAAAAGTGAAGGGTAGAAAAGCTGTTGGACCTAATGATATTTCAATAAAGGTGTGAAAATGTTTAGAAAATGAAATAATTTCTTGGTTTACTAAAAATTTTAATATTATTTTGAAGCTTAAAAAGATGTCAAATTTGTGTTGATTCCTATTTTTAAGAATAAAAGTGATGCATAAGAGTGTGCAAATTTTAAAAGAATTAAATTAATGTGTTATACATTAAAGCTATGGGAGAGAGTAAGTGAGCATAGGTTGTGACATGATACTAATATTTCTCAAAATCAATTTAGATTCATGCCGAGTAGGTTTACTATCGAAGCTATACATTTATTAAGAGGTTTGATGAAGAAGTATAGAGAGAATAAGGAGGATCTATATATGATATTTATTGATTTAGAGAAAGCATATGATAAAGCTCTAAGAGAAGTGCTCTAGAGAGTTTTAGAAAAGAAAGAAGTTAATAATGCATATATTCAAGTCATTAAGTATATGTATAATAGTGCAGTTACTTGTGTTCAAACACAAGGTGCTTTGACCAAGTAGTTTCCTATTTCAGTTGGATTACTTCAAGGAACAACTCTAAGCCCATATCTTTTTTCTTTAGTCCTGGATGTTCTTACTAGACATTTGCAAGAGGATGTATTCAGGTGTATGCTTTTTGCTGATGATATTCTTCTTTTTAATAAGACTAGAGAGTTAGTTAAAGGAAATTTTGAATTATGGAGGTTAACCTTAGAGTTTAAAGGTTTTCGTTTGAGTAAATCTAAATCGAATTCGTGGAATGTAAGCTTAGTACTAATAAATCTTGTGGGGGGATTGTGATTATGGGCAATCAAGTTATTAAAAAGAGTACCCGTTTAGATACTTTGGGTCTTTTGTTCAAAGTGATGGCGAAATAGATGGGGCTATTTTTAGTAAAATTCAAGTTGGTTGGTTAAAGTGTAGGAATGCATCGGGCTTGTTGTGTGATTGAAAAGTACCTAAAACTTTTTTTGTGTAAATAAAAAATGTGAATTAATATCCTTAATCGAGAGTATTCTTAGATATCATACTCAACATGTAATTAGTTATGAGAGCTTGTGTCCATAGGAGACTTAGATCCCACAGACTTAACAAACCCAACTTGGTCTTGATTTGTCATTCAAGTGAAATCTTTGGGACGCATTCCAACCTTCCTTGCCATCAATTCGCAGAAGCTCGCATTATGATTTGTTGATTTTTATTATCCACTGATCTCCATCCAATTTGGGAATCTAATGTGGCTCTTTTGAAGCTCATTGATCTATTGAATTTGAATTTTTATACTTTCAAATTGATCCAAACATTTTTGCAAATGGCCAATCATGATTTTATTTACTCTATTAATTTTTTTCTTTTGATTTTGTTTGCTCTATTGAATTTGATAAAAATATTAGATACACTTTGTCAACATGATATACCTTATTATATTATTTAAATTTTAGAATAAAAAATATGAATATTTTGTGTGATTCAATAGATGTTTGTCATCAAAGATGGCTTATATGATCACTTTGTATGTATGATAATTTAAAGTAAACAACTAAATGTCTAATATTTTGTTCTTACTAATTCAAAAAATTTTATGAATACTCCTTTTTGTAATGGACCATCTCTGTAGCAACTGTTTAAGCATGGTCAAATCAACAACACAATGCAGTATGTGCTTAATATATGAGAGCATATTACACAAAAATGCTTTTAAAGTATCAAAGTGCGTGTCTCATATCTATTATATAATTTATTTTTGGTCTTTCTTCCTTCAAAATTCATCAATTGATAAATATTTTTAAATGATTAATTTTTCAATAAACTTAATTGCCCGTGTGTTGAAAATGTTGAACCTAGATATTTTCTAAATATGTAAGTGTGATAAGGAAGTGGAGTATCATATTTGGATTATCTCCAATTACACAAATCAGTCACTTAATTCACTTTGGATGGCTTGATTTATTGTTTCAGAACCAGGCTTATTTTGAAATGGTTTGAATGTTTCAAATCCAATGATCCAAATGCTTGTTGGGACTGGAATGTCTGCAATGCCTGGTTTTGAAACAGTAAATACAGCCATCAAAGTGAATTGACTCCATGTTAATGGGAGAGAATCCAAATCCTGAGATATCTTTATATTGTAACAACTACATGTTTGAAAGGTCTAAATTGAATAAGAAATTTGCATATGCATATAATATCCAATATGTATTTGAGCATAAAAAAAATATCGAACGCATGCAAAAGGTGCCAAACTGTTTCTACTTGTATAACTTAGTGTATTAAAACTGTCCTTATTATTCTACATTTTCAATTTATTTTTAATTAGAAGCATCAGGCTTTTATTTCTATACCAAAACAATTGTGGTTTCTGTGTTAAGAGCTTTGACCTGCAATAGAGTGTTCTAATGTTCAGGAACTTCATGGAAATGCAGGTTGACCCAGATGAGGTGAATGCCTTGGCACAATTAATGACCTGGAAGACTGCCGTAGCAAATATCCCATATGGAGGAGCCAAAGGTGGAATAGGATGTGCTCCTGGAGAGTTGAGTCTTTCAGAGCTTGAGAGACTCACGCGAGTCTTCACACAAAAGATACATGATCTAATTGGTATTCATACTGATGTTCCGGCGCCAGATATGGGAACAAACCCACAGGTCTACAGAAAAAAATTTTAAGGGGAAAATATCAGAGTTTCTTCTTTTTCTTTTTAGTATTTTAGAATTTCTTCTCAAAGTTTTTTCTTCATTTTAGCAATGCCTAAATTAAGTTTATTCTATTGGCTCACTGGAAATAGACAATGGCGTGGATACTAGATGAATATTCCAAATTTCATGGCTACTCACCTGCTGTCGTTACTGGGAAACCTGTTGTAAGTAATAAAAATATTTGATTTAAATTCTGGAAAAATTATTATTTTAATGTTAGTAAGCTGACCTGTTCTATTACAATTACTCTGATCTTTCAGTGAAATGATTTATCTTCCCTTCCAGTAGATGTTTTCCATTGTTTGCCTAATTTTACTCTTCCTTCCTGATAATTTCCTTGTTTTTCCATCAGACATGCCATGCATTTAATTTACTCATCCTGAATAGGCCTTCCGTTGGTTCCACATTGGGAAATGAACACAAATCATATCTTTTCAATGATTCTGCATTTTTTAAAGAGACTATGTATAAAATAAAAAATCCATGATATATCGCAAAATTTGTTGGATGGGAAACAATTAATAAATCATCGTGCTTAAACTCATCAATCTTAAAGGCTGGGAGAACTTAAAATCAGAAGGCGGTAACCATGTGGAAGACTGACAAATAATAGCTGATAATGAAGGTTATTGTAATTTCCATTGGTGTATGTATGGAATTTAGAAGTTATATACTTTTACTGTTAATTTGACCTTCTCAATTATGTCTTTGTTACATACGGATTTATGAATCCTTTCAAGGTTTTTGAGAGGATTGATTTTGCTTATCTAAAGTCGTTTCTAATGGTATGTTAATTGTGTGACTATCTGATTGAGAAGTTCTAGTCAGATACTCTGTTATATACAAAACCTAAAACATCTTCATGAAGGTTCTCATCATCCTATCCATATGTTTGTTTCTTTTCCTTGAAGGATCTTGGTGGATCTTTGGGTAGAGATGCAGCTACGGGAAGGGGAGTTCTATTTGCCACACAAGCTCTGCTTGCGGAGTATGGGAAGAGCATCTCAGATCAGCGTTTTGTCATACAGGTTTGTAAACCGGTTCTCAAGTAGTAGTGGTTATTTTACAGATTTCTTATATGTGATTGATTGAACAATTGTAATAATTTTGTTGAAATTCTTGTGGAAAAAGATGATTCTAATCATATTTAAAGAATGCATGATCAATACTTAAACAATTCACAAAATGATGCGCAAACTTCATAAATTTAGGATATAGAATGTTGCTCAATGGAATTGACGGTGGTGGGTAACTTTTTAGTCAAATAAATGGTTATTAATGGCTATGAATTTTTTGTTCAATGTCTAAGTTATGATCTGGACTTTATGGCTGGAAAGGTAAGGGGTTTAGTGGAACAAAATTTCATCCAATTTGGACTACTTTGGGCTGATTTGAAAAATCTCTTTATAGAATGAGTTTTGTGATGGTTAAATAACTGAAAAATGATGCTGAAGGGTTAGCTTAGGATGTGAATTTATGGTATGGAGTAGATTGTTTGTTTTGGTGTAGCTAAGTGGGTGTCCAGTAGTATGAAACAAGACTAAGCCCTAACCTTGTCTAGTTTTGCGGAGAGCTACATATGGGGTTTTGGAGTGGTTATGTGGCTTAGATTAGGTGGTGGCTGGTCTTAGAGAATGTTGAGGATGTGGTGAGAGGCGAGAGGAAAGTTAAGAGCCACCAAGCAAATAAATATAACAATAAAAATAAAAGTTACCTTATCTCATTAAAGAAAAGGAAAACTTAAGCCACCAAGCATCAAGTCAAAGAGGAGCAATTCTTCTGTTAAAATATTTCATTCATCAATAGAAAATTATGATGCATATCAACCCTTTATATAGATTATTACATTACTCTTAGACTACTATAAATATAAAAAATAAGGGAAATTTTAGCGAGAAAGGAGCAGGATGACAATTAATGGAAGGATGTGCGAGCCATATGCATTAATTCATTTTCCATAAGTGGTTGACTCTTAGATATTCCAAGGAGAAAATAAAAATGCAATAATGATATTTTGACTTCATATTAAACAATCATATTAACATTAAAAAAATTTCTTATCAAGCTTACCAAGTTTGAAGTGATTGATACAAAAAAATTATTCTTAGTTGAAATAAAGTTATGATCAGATTTACTTCTTCAGGCTTTGCTGATGTGTGCCTTTTAGTAATATTAAGGGATAGAAATTATTATGAATTTTAGTTTGATGTCTAATGATGTGATCTGAAGTTTGTGGTAAAAAAATGAGAGGTTTATATGAGTTTAGTGGAAAAAATTTCCAAGTATAGTCCAACTTGGTCTGGCTGATTTGAAAAATCTCTGCAGAGAATGGTTGTTAAGTGATACAAACAATTAAAACTAACGGTAGAAGATTAACTTATGATGTGAACTTATTATCTGGAGTATATGATTATGTTTGGTGGATTTAAGTGTGTATCGAGTCGTGGGAAACAAGATTAGGTCTTAGTCTTGCCTAGGGATGTGGAGGGAGGTGCGAGGAATGTTGAGTTTAAGAGAGTAGCAAATAAATATAAAAAGGAACTAGGATAGCTACCTTATCTTGTTAAAGAAAAGGTGAATTTGAGTCACAAAGTACCAAGCCAAAAATAAGAGAAAATGTTCGTTCAAAGTGTTTCATTCAATAATAGAAAATTATAATGCATATCACTCCCTTATATAGGATATTACATGATTCTTAGACTATCATCATTCAAATAGAAAAGAGAGATTATGGAGAGAAAGGAGGTGGGTGGCCATTAATGTAAGAATGTGTTAACTATATGCATTAATTCTCTATTCCAAAATTCTTTTAGTGGCCAACATTTACATATTCCAAGGTGACAATAAAAAAGTAAAAATGATATTTTGAGTTCAAAATACAAATCTAAATTTAAAATTTTCTTCATACGTGGGCTCATGCTTGGTCTCTTGTTATTAGGCCTATCGTTTTGCATGATTTTGTCTTGTAGAAGTTGCAATCCAATATTCTATAAGATCAATATTCTTCTTTTTATGATTTTGAATGAAAACGAACTTTTATGTATCAGGAACACAGTTAGGGCTCATGACACTAAGTTTTTTTATGGTTCATAATTACACTTGACATTAATCTGAATTCTGAAGTAGTTCTCTAGTCACAACAGAGCTGAAAACAAAGAAGGTTTTCATTAATACTCTGTGGTTTTGTATTAAGGCAAGTTTAGCCAAAACCTTCATCACTTCTCTGTTGAGATATTGCTTGTGAAAGATCATTTGCACATTGCTGTTGACACTGATGTGATTATTATTAGCAAATATGATAAGGCTACATATTTATTTAAGTGATAGTGGTACTTGTACAAATATATCTATATATAGGGAAGAGAAGAGAGTACTAAATAAAATATAATAAAGAAAAAAGTTTCTCAGTAATGAGGATATATTGCAATAATAAATATTATAAATTCTTAAAATAAATATCAACTCATGTGATAATATTTATGTATAGTAACATCTTTAAAGGTAATGACTATTAAAGTTTAAAATAATTACTCTTTAACATTTATGATTTTAAATAAATCTTTTGTTGTGGACTACCTTGAATTGAGGAGACAAACAAACAAAATATTACAAGGAAAATTGAATTGTCAAATGGAAATAAGTGTCAACTTCCTGATCATTTTAAATTGGTTATTATGGATTTATCCTTACCTTCATCTTTTAATTCAGGGGTTTGGAAATGTGGGTTCATGGGCTGCTATTCTTATCAGTGAAGCTGGTGGGAAAGTTGTCGCAATTAGTGATGCTAGTGGAGCAGTTAAAAACAGTAATGGCCTGGACATTGAGAAATTACATAAATATTCCATAGAGAATCGTGGTGTTAAAGGTTTCAGTGGTGGAGATTTAGCTGATCCAAACTCGCTATTGACTGAAGACTGTGATGTACTTATTCCAGCTGCGCTTGGTGGTGTTATTAACAGGTTCCTCATTTTTCTTTCTTTCTTTAATTTTTCTTTAAACTGCTCAAATTACCATAGGTTTTCGATCTTATAATTATTCTTATTAGAACTTCACTAAAAATTTGAATTTTTCTTAAAACTATCTGAAATGCATTTTTCTCTTAATGATTGTGAGCTACTTACATTAAAGGTGTGCTTATAGAGTGTTCTCTGGAAATGTCTTTCTTCTTAAGGGAAAATGCAAATGACATAAGAGCTAAATTCATTATTGAGGCAGCCAATCATCCAACCGATCCAGAGGCCGATGAGGTGAATCTTGAAGTTTCTAAATGCTATTAATTCGCGAACAGCATTGGATACTTAGGTCATTTCTATTTCGGTTTTTTCACTGAAAGAGTTTATTGAGATGCTTGACATCAAGTTTTGCCGTTCTTTTGTTTACAGATTCTGTCAAAGAAAGGTGTAATTATTCTTCCAGATATCTTTGCAAATTCTGGTGGCGTTACTGTGAGTTATTTTGAGTGGGTTCAGGTAGGTTGTTCGCGCTTTAACCTTATAGCCTTCATCGCCTATAAAAATAATAAAAATAATGAAATTTTTTGGGCTCATGCAAAACCAGTGAAATTTTTTTTTGGGAGAAAAACAACGGGATTTTGAGAATTATGAGGGATTTTGAAATTGATGCAAAGATTATTATTAACTTTTATAAAAATATTTAAATTTACTAATTTTGAGCCGGTTCCCGAGCTCGTCAAGCTCGAGTTTGAGCTCGAGCTCAAGCTCTTAGCTCGATAAGCTCGACTTGCGAGCTCATAAACGAGTCGAGCTCAAGCCGGCTCGGCTCACTTATACCCCTAGTTCCAACACTATATGGGAATCAATGACATGAATAATGCTACAGATAACTATAACATCTATAAGGCTCTGACATTTGCTTTGACATCATAAATAAATAGCCATGTACAAATTCAGTAAATGACTCAATTCACAACCTACATGCCTTATATGATTTTTGGGAAATAAGGATTTTTCAGCTAGATTATTCTTGCATGCTTAAATTATAAGTTTTGAGGGAGTAAACCAAAAAAAAAATTATGATCATAGCTCAGTGCTATCTTCTAATTGTTCATCTTCCTAATTATTACGGGATTAATGTGATTACTCTGCACTCCATGCAGAACATTCAAGGATTTATGTGGGATGAAGAGAAGGTGAACTCTGAGCTGAGGACTTACATTCTCAAAGGTTTCAAGGATGTTAAGGATATGTGCAAAACCCATGACTGTGATCTACGAATGGGAGCCTTTACCCTTGGGGTTAACCGAGTTGCTCGAGCTACAGTACTAAGAGGTTGGGAGGCCTAACTTTTTAAGTTTTTTAGTCACTCTTCAACAGAGTCATCAAGTTTGTGCAATGACACTTTACTCAGTTTGTATCCCTTAGATTATGCAGGCAATTTTGTTCAAGATTTTTTAGACTGTTATTTAAGTCATCTTGTGATGCTATATTTTGTTGTGAAATAAAGCATTAATAATGATGCTGTGTTGTTAAAGTTTTCGATTGATAATTTGAAGGTTCAGATTATATGATCTTAGGGAGGCTAAGATTTCGTTTGAGACAGTTTTCTTACTGCTTTTTAAAGCAATTTTTTAGCACAAAAAAATTTTTAAACTAAATATTTATTATACTAAAAAATTGCTTTAGAATGCAATAAGAAAATTGTCATAAATGAAATCTAAGCTTTCAATGAATAACTACTTCATATTTAATTGCAATGTTAATTTTACAATATTTTGCAGTTGCTATGGATCATGTTAGTTTTTTCATAGTTTTATTTTCCAGAAAACTGTCAGAATGCCCACAACTAAAAATTCTATCTTTGCCAATATTAACTCTAGAGCTTCTTTTACAAAGTTAAGTTGTCTCAAACGAATCTTTCATCTATATTTAGAAGAGCATATATAGGATTCTGTAGTACAGTCGTCTCAAACAAATCCTTAATCTTCATTTAGAAGAGCGGATATAGAATTCTTTGGTGTAGTTACAACGGTAATTGCGTTGGTTTAGTTGCCGCCTCTTAGTTGTCCGATCCAAATCAGATGGCTTGGATTTGCTACAGGCAAAATCTGCTGATTCTGAACCCACTTGGGCAAAGCTTTAATCGCTATTCCAAATGACCATGGAAATTTTATGTAGACTGCACTTAGCAAAACCTCCAAATATATGGTGTCAAGTTCTATTAGTTATGAGTGTTGTTGTCAATGTAGATAACTGTGATTTTATAGAATTTCTGTAAGAAATGTCTCAACTTATAACTGGTGGATCTCTTTTTGTTTCTAAATTTATGCATTTGCAAGAGTAATTCTCTACTAAAAACCAAGACTTGCTTTCATGTAAGAAAATTATAGAAAATTAGAATTACATGTGAATAATTTTGTGTTTAGGTTTGTGCATCTTCTGAACTGAACTAAAGACATACTGATAATATTTCTTAGTGAATGTCATATATTAACTTCCTTTGAGATGGCTTTCTTACTGCTGCTTAAAACAGATTTTTAGTACAAAAATTAAAAAGCTGCTTTAAGCAGCAGTAAGAAAGCTGTCGCAAACAAAGTCACAGTCTAAATAGCTTAAAATAAGATTGAATGTAGATAGTTCATGGGCTTCTTACTGAAGCTGGTAGTTCATGACCATTGGATTTGCTTTGTGGTTTGTGCAATTTTGAATATAAGCATGATGACATAGAGAGAGATTCTCAAAGATGATCCAAGCACTTCACAACTTTATATATATGACCTTATATATGCAACAATAATATATGGAAATAGGAGTAATGCTGGAGATATGTAAAATGATCTTCAGGATTTGTTCAGAATTTAGATAAAACTCCATCCAATATATGTGTTCATAAATTCCAAGGAATTAAAATAAGAGTTATGCCCATTACTTGATGAGGAAAATTTAGCAAAACTCCCTTTGCTAAAATTTTACATGATTTGGCAGATATCATAACAATTTGTATATTAAAATTTTGGACGAGTCGACTCAACTCGCACCATCCTTTCTAGTTTATGTGATATTCTTTCGAGCCCAACAGACGGAGTGTTACGATGCACCGTTACAACTATGAGGATACGAATATGATAAGATATGTTAAGGCATGACATTATAATTTGTTTATTTTAATAATTAAAATGATACATGATTTATGCGTCCTTTTTTTTTAATTGCAAAAGTGACATGTGTGTCTAACACGTATCGACCGCATGTCTGTGTCCAACACGTGTCAGGCACTACATGTCGACTTTGTTAAAAATTTGCATTCTCATTCATCATTCATTTATATTGAATATTAAATGTTGAATCTATTCAATTTTCAACAAATAATAATCTACTCACCACTCCATTGAGGCCACCTAATTATTGTGGACCTTCAAGTTTGTTTTTAGAATGATTAAGAAGATGAGCAATATGAGGTTGGCCAAACAAACCTATCTTGATTTTTTTTCTTTGATATCTAACAAAGGAAAATCAACATCAAATGAAACAGACTCACACTATCTAATGAAAGCTTTGCAATCAAATGAAGAATAGTATTTCATTAATTTAATTAAGATTTTTTAGTGCTTTGTATATAAATGATAAATATAAGTTAATGATTAATTTTTCTTTGTTGTTTCCTTATGATTTGAATGATAGTGATATATTATTTGCTTTTTATGTTAATGATTAGAATTTTATTATATCCAAATTCTTCAAATTACAAATTCAACTTTTTTTTTTTTTGAAATTAAGTTGTCCTCTTTATATGTTAATTGATCTCATACCTTTTTTAGGTTAATGATTAGAAGACATATAAATATAAGAAATTAAATGTTATTTTCATGATTTTATATTGTATAGCCAAATTCTTGAGGTGTATGCTAAAGGCATATAGTGAGTACCCTTAGTAAGTTATTTTAGCAAGTGCCCCTTATTGGAGAGATTATTAGGTGCGGAGTGCGGACGGGAAGAACTGTCTGCACAAGCATTGGGTACCTAGCGGTACCCGCACTCGGTACCGCTGGGTACTCAGTGCTTGTGCGGATGGTATGCACTTCTCACCTAATAATTTTTCCCCTTATTGGCTGTGATTATTCTACGTTAATTGTTGAGTTCTTTTGGCAAATAACCTTAGTGGTTATATGCTTTCATCAGTCCTTCATGCAAGTTTAGCATCCTAGTATTAAGGGCTTAGTTAGGTCTAATACTTTGAGGTGGTATATAAAGAGGTCTCATGGTGAACTCTCTATGGACATTGAATTGGATTATTTCCTCTTGTATAAATCTGAGTGTAATGAGATAACATGCTTAATATTACAATCAAACTACCCAAATAATAAGAATTTGGCCTCTTACAAGAAATTTATGCACCAAGTAACATGTAAAGATAATCATGTCATTGTGACATCAACTATTATGAAGTCAGCCATGAAATTATATAGTTGGTTGCCCTCCATCAAATTATTGTTAGTACATTTATCTTTATTATCTCTGTACTAAATTTAAAAAAAAAAATCATTGATGGGGCTAGTAATAGACGAAAATCTCAATGGATCTACAACCATCCAATCAAATACATGTATAAATATTATTTCCATAGAACTTCCTATGTTGATGGATATGAGCTAGTTTAATGATTGGCAATCAATATAGTGGTGAAAATGGAGTTTTTGCAGGGTCAGAGTTACTAATTTGTAGTCATTCATTGCATATAAAGGTGATCAAAACCTCAGAGAATGAATATGGAAAAGATGCAGCGTATATCTTGAGTGAAGTTGCCTTAGGCTTGAATGCCTTGATGCTTTAGCCTAATCTCCCTTAAGAATCGTTAGGGCTATTCATGTTGTATGAATCATTGTGCTAGACATGCTTATTCTTATTTCTTTCACCGCCACATTGACAAGTCATCATATTAACTCAACAATGATGAACTCTTCTTAACTTGCTAGTTGTAAATGAGCTCCTCAACAAAGTCATTGATGTAACCATAATCCCTCTATCATGCTTGTGATATTTATGCAAGAAATGTTTTTTATTCGAAGGCAACAATTAGGGGTGTCAATTTCGGGTCACGGGTCGGGTTCGGGTCGAACCCGAACTGACCCGGGTGGAAAACGGGTCGACCCTAACCCGACCCGGGTAGAGAAACCGGGTCGGGTTTTCGTGTCGTGTCAAATATTGACACCCCTAGCAACAATGACCTTACATCTTTGAGTGGTCATAGGTTGCAATACATCTTCTATGCTCATTGGGCTAGAATCCTTACTGTTAATAATGATGATAGGCTTCTCAAATGACTTAAGTCTTATCATTATTGGCTCTTTCCTCATGTTGAATAAATCATGTGTTATTTACAGATTATGGGTGCTAATAAATTTAATGATTAACAACCGCATGAAATAAAAAAGGAGCTGATATTTTTTTTATAATAAGGCGAGAGAAAAATTATATCAGCTACGCAGCTCATCTTGGTCTATTAGTTGGGGGCTTTAGCTGCTAACCAAGAGGCCATGAATTTGATGCTTGCGTATGTGATGTGTATGTAAATTTACCTCAATGGCTCAAAATACTTCACTGTGCCACTAACAATGTGAAGGGAGATAACCCACTTAGAGATAGCAGCATTATTAGTTTGGGCATAACTTTCATTAATAAGAATCTAACATTGGCACCTTGAACTTTAGCAACTATTCAATCTTTGCAATATAAATTAATAAAGTATTTTTAGCATATGTTTGACACTTTGATAGTCAATGAGGGGAACAATTATTACGTCCTTCGACCGGATGCAGAGAAGCATCCGGTCGTAGGCAAAAAAAACTCGGTACCGAGGTGTACCGAGTTTTTTGAAAAACTCGGTACACCTCGGTACCGCATTTTTTTTTGCCTACGACCGGATGCTTCTTGCATCCGGTCAACCGAACCAAATAAAAGTTCCAATGAGGGAGAGAAAAATTAATTCTGTCATCCTTAGGTAGATAGTGTTCATCATTTGAAAGAGTTGAAGCCAGACTTGAAGACAGATTATTTAAAAAATATTAATATATAATATACTTAAAGTATGTTAGTATTCAAAATTTTAAGAACAATGTTTAAAATGTTAGAAATTATATCTCATATTATGATATAAAATAACTCTTTATTTTTTTTTAATTATTTTTATTCTTTTTCTAATGTATAATTAATTGTCTAAATCATAATTATTTTCTATCTATCATAATAAACGAGCCGGCTTGCACTCGAAGAGTAAGGCTTGAGCTCTAGCTCAAACTAGATTAATTAATCAAGCTAAAGCTACGGATGACTCGAACTCGACTCAAATCATTTAACACACCCCCACCCCCCCCACACCCCCACCCCCCTCCCCCCCCACGTACTTTCGCACTCTATTGAAAGAGATCAATTGATTAGATTATTATTATTTTTTCCTTCATCTTGTGAAGATGAATAAAGACAATTTATTTCCATGACTTACATCAAGCATCTTCATCTTTTTCTCATTTCTGGCATACTTAACTTTTCTCCAAACTTATTCCACCAAGTGATA